AAGCCTTATTAAGGAAAAAGCTTTAAAGCAGTAGAAAATGAAGAGAAATGTAAATTTTAAAATTTTGACAACAGAATTAATTAAATAATTTTAAAAGTGTAATTCTCGAATATCAGATTTTTTGGAATAAATTTAACTTTTAAAGTGCTATTAAATTTCACACAATCACATTTTTTAGGGAAAGTTTTCATCATAACAGAGTATTACAAAATCTTCTACATAACTATTATTTATTCTAATTAACTGAAACATTTATTTATGACACTAATTTTTCATATTGATTCATTACATTTTAACGTCACAAACAATAAATCAACAATAGGACTTGAAGAACTGGTTCTCTGAGCTTTCAATGCAGTTTTTAAAATCAGGGGATCATTTTAATAGTATTGAAATTTTACCTTTTTTAAAAGTTCACTCAGTCGTGATATTATTATTGTTCTTGCTGTGTCCCTTCGTCATATTTTAGTTGTCTGAGTACGCGAATAGCTAAGTATGAATCTGAAATAATGAAGAAGAATGTGAATGTGATGTTAAGGTTAGGTTTTACGACAATGAGAAAATTTTTAAGCTGCTTTACATATACATGTATATGTATATTAGTATATGTAAATACGTTAATTAAATGCAGTATAGGCAGAATTATGTTACATAATTTAATAATAATACTTATTATTAAAATATATAATTTAACTATGATTTATTGTCATTCACGCAATATGTTCTTCACGTAATTATTGCCTATACATATGAAGATGCTGTAATAGGTAAAGAATATTACCACAGGAGTTATAACGGGCAACTAACTCAGTATTTTGAGCTGTCTACATCCAAGCTAAGTAGCGAAATCGAATTGCGTTGTCAAAAATATCCATTGTCTTCGTTAATTTATCAAGGATGTCCAACGCTTCTATTCGGTTATACAGCTGTAGATGGATTTTATGATAAGAATAATTTAATCTCTTCTTCCAATTAAACTATATGATAAAGTATTTTTCTCTTTTTACTTCATTAATTATTTTATGAACCTTAAATAAAAGCTTATTTTTATCATAAACTTTTTTTTTTCTGTTGTTTTCTGCTAAGTCTTTAATTTACACTACAATATATATATATATATATATATATTTTCCTGTCTGTATTAAATCTTTCCTTAACTTTCTGTCTATTTTAAATCTTCTTTTAACTACCATCCGATGAACACTTTCGTGTTTCCCACTTCAAAAAAATCTGAAGTCAAACCTTCAAAAAACCTAACCTGGCGCCCGAACTAAAAGGTTGTAGATGATAATTCATCACCACCAGGATTTGGCGATTTTGTCCTCTAATCCCCAATCGCCCTTTGAAAGGGGGAGTATATAAGGTATTTTCTTCGTCTTTTCAAGCATGCCTTCGAGGTGTAACGGTAGCACATTGAGAGGTCCAGGTTTGAGTCCCGGAGAGGTCATTGCTCATTTTTGACCTCTTCTGCAGGGTGAGAAATATTCAGTTGTCTCCGGACGCTGAAAACGAAACCCTAGCCACGCCTCTCAGTAAATGATTGAAACAAAGGAATAAGAATACCATATTTTGTTTGTGAATGAAGAATCGTAGCATCTTTTGCCAAGTCTTCCATGTTAGCTTCGTCATTTTTATTGTCTTCTCTCTCCAAAATCTGTGCCAGAGTTCTATCTTACTACCAAAATTTTCCAAATCACGAAAGCATTGCTTTTTTTTTTTTTTTTTTTTTTTTTTTTTTTTTTTTTTTTTGTAAATTCTTTAACTGTTATTTCTTAACATAATTACAAGATAAGGTAAAGAAAATGCTAAAAAATTAGCGCTGGCAAGTCTTGCCCCTACTGAGGATCATTAAAGATCCGGATTAGAGATTGTAAGAGAGCTTTTCTAAAATTCATTAGTTTTAGATGTTGAAGAGTTTGAATGATACTATTGCCTCGGTATTTGCAATTCTCTGGCAGTTGTTTGAGTTGCAGTATTTTGTATGACAGAATACCTTGGCAGAGTTTAATTTCTAAAGGTAGACGTGCCGGGGCCTTACAAAACGCCTTTGGGAAATGAGCAAAAATAAGTAAATAAAAATCAATTACTGCAGTCTAACCCCTCTATAACGAACTTCAAAGAAACAAAGATTTGTCTTGCTGTACCCAATCCGATAGGGAAAACGGATCCTCTCACAAAAGCGTGTAAAATTTGAGTGATGAATGGAGGGAAAAAACTGAGTAACACTGGCACATGTAACCAAAAGAATATCAGAATAAAATCTATTTTATAAAAAAATACTATTAACTGTAATTAATATTAAGCGCAGTTATTTAATTTGTTGTTTATTCTTTTTCATTCTTTCCAAAGTGTCTGGAAATCCCTTTTCCTTTATCTGAAAGATTTGTCCAGGTATTGGCAGATTACGACTTTTTAGAATGGTGAACCATTGCAAAAATGCTTTTTTAACATCTCTGTGCTCCACCTTTTTCAACTTTTACCTCGTATCCGAATATTTTCCACCAACCGAAATTATAGAGTTTTGAGTTTTTCATATACCAGCTGTTGATTTGAATAAATTCTATTTCTGGCAGATATTGAATTGACTGCATCCATTTTTGTATTTTTCTAATAATGTTCACCTTCTCTTCAATGCAGAATCTGTAGATTTTATCTCGCCTTGCGGATATAGTCAGAGAAAATGTGAGAGTTTTGTTCGCTTGGAAAATAGGGAAAAAGGAAAATAATTTCGTCACCTGCGTATCATATCCAGTGTCCATTTCGAACACAAACATTTCCTCCAAGATATGTTTGGTTGCGATAGAAAGATCTAACAACTTTTGCAAAGAGTATCTTATTTATTGCAAAAGACCCAAAGGATATAAATCCTATTCGAAAGATTGAACACGTAGATCATTTATACTCACAAAGTAAGCCGAAAAGGATCAAAACTTTTCATTCTCTAAAAGAAGAATAATCTGAAATGCTTAAAGAGAGAATTTGAACGGAATCTGAGACCTCATTCATATTTTTGTTTCAATGGTCATGTATACCATATGGTGTCCTAAGATCTGCTTACTGTATCTTCGTTTTTCTAACGTTGGGTGGCACACACACCTCGCATATCTTTTGTTTAGAACACAGTAGGAGTGAGGGTAAAAGAAAAACAGCGTAAAAGTGTTTTAATTTAATGGAAGTAATGAGGAATGGGAATCCTAATATTCTATAAGTGGATAATTTTAAAGAGTTAGTAATGTTTTTACTTAAAACTTGAAGAAACTTTTAAAAATATGAAAAATGCAAATAAGTTTCAATCAAAGATAGCCATACTATTCATTTTATCCGATTTACATATTCTTGGTAGTTCGCTATAACAGTATAAAATAACATTTAGTGTATAGGAAACTGGAGTTGACCAAAAGATTTGTTCGTTATAAGCCGTGTTCATTATAACGGCGTTCGACTGTATTTATTTATTTTCAAATGCCTAGATTTTGGCGCTAAAGTCATTAGCAGTTTTATTTCCCAGTTCCTGTGGATGACAGAATTAAAACTGCTGAGTCCAGAGCGCGCATCTGAATGTTTTTTTGGTCCATGTGCTGTCCAGAGTCACAAAGAGAGCACACTAGAGAAAAGTCGAGTCTAATGTAAAAGATATGAGGCAATCATGTTCATTCGAAAGACGAAATGCTGTCACAGCTTTAACAAAAGCAGATCCTAGATATTATATCTCTTGTCTAGAAGACACGACGAAGACGTCCCCCCTATGAATTTATGTGCAAATTTTGTATCAGGAATCTTGCTAAACTGCCCGGCTAAAGCGCTGCTGGTATTTTCTGTTTCCTGCCTTGAAAAGCCTTGAGGATTGGCCCCCCAGCTCTGAGCAATAAAGCCGTCAAATGCTGGTAGTTTGACCTGCATTCAATTCCAGGCATATAGGTTAGCTGCATGGGCGTTTATGGATACTAGCCAGTTTTCCTTATAAGGCCGCCATGAAGGCATCATTTCCTTGAGGCAGAGGCGTCTTGTGCTTTGCTATAATCAATATGCAAAACCAAACTTAAAGGACTGTTCAGACGAGGACTTTGAGGTCATAAAGGATATAAGCCGAGTTTCATTCAGACAACCAGACCTTGCTTACTTTACTGAAACAAGTATAAGGATTTTTTCTAAATGTTCTATCTGCTCAATTCTATTCCATCTTGCCATAAGAACCACTAATCAGAGTGATGCAAACGCGAACTGATATTCGCTCGATGATTTCGCTCAGCTGCATATTTAAGCAACCTTTCGTTCCCTGATTGGCTACATCTTGAACTCTATACTGTAGGTGAGAACGAACTTTTATACCTTAAGCATATGATAATAATGACGGACAGATCATCATCTGAACACAACCTAATGGATTATACAAATTTGCTATCAATGAAATGGACTGCATTCTGCCATCTCTGTAAATTTTAGCTAGGATTGAAAAAGAACTGTTTAGTGAAGAAGAGCTGTAAATTGTTGAAAGCAGTGAAATGTGGTTTTTCTATTTATGAGAGAATTTCATTATGAATGTTAGAAATGGAAAACTACTTATAAAATTATATTTCTCAATCCCTGTTTCTTAAATAATTAGTAAAAAGTATGAATTCGAATGCAGTTTAGTTCTTGGATGTAACTATTATTCAGTTTGGTGTCTTTGCAAAATGCTGCAAAATTCGATAAAAATTATTTTTGCGCGTAACAACATAACGCTAGAATAACTCGTGAAAATAACGAGAAATTCGTAAGCGTTGTCAGATATGGCAAATGCAATAACAGATTAAGATTTTCTTTGTCATCTTATCTGCCTATTTGTTACATTTTGACAAATGTTCATATGTAATGGGGGGCGAGGCTAACACAAGCTCACAATGTCGAATCCGATGTTACCTTTGTAAAATTATCTGTTTATTATCAGACTTTAGTTGAAAATCCACCCGAAATCTTTCTTCTTTTGAACTGGATTGTGATAAATAAAACAATGGTAAATATTAAGAACCGTTGTAATCGCGCACTAAGTAAAGTACAAGAAAATTTTGATAGAAAATTGAACACTATTCCACCCCTGTAACTGAAAGAGTAAACTTTCTAATTTCTAGACGGCACTCAGTTCTATTTTACAAACTATCCAAAATACCATGAACATACCTGAATTGGGAAGTACCAGCATAATTTTAACGGCAATAGTATCTCTTTGTGCAATAGCATACTTTTTTGCAGGCAGAAAGAAATACAAATTGCCTCCTGGGCCAACTGGCTTGCCAATTGTGGGTTATTTACCATTTGTGGATAAGGAGCCACAAAAGACATTTGCTGCACTAGCCAACAAGTATGGAAATGTGTTTGGGTAAGTGTTATGGTTTTAGTGATTATTCTGATGTTCGAATCGTTTATTCTTCTAAACTATTATATGTTTATCATTCGTACCCTGATTAAGTTCATTGTATTTAGAATTAAGGAAGATTCATTTACTTCTTCTGTTTACGTATTTTTTTAATGTTTTAAAATATTTATCCATTTATATTTTACCATATTGTGTTAACTTTTATCTTGAAGATCATATGAGTGTTTAACGCCTCATTCTCTATAAAAAATGTTATCTTTATATATTAATATGCATATACTTGTAGAAAGTTTAATTTTCTTATTTCAATTACAATTCAACATTTCTAATATACTGAAATTATTTAATCATTGATATACGTAATAAGATTTTGTTTTTCTATGTTAAATATATTTGTATGCGTATCCACATAAAATAACTACAAATTTTGAGGTACAATTTGTAAAAATCGTATTTTCCACTAATCGAATTTTTTTTTTTTTTTTTTTTTTTTTTTTTATTTTACTGTTGCTTTCAAAATTCCATACATCAAAACGTACACTGCGGGGGGGAAAGGACAGTTCTATATCTCCCCCCGTTCTACTGGGCTGATTGACGAAATTCAACTTGCGTTTTTCATGTCTGGAAAGCGCGTCTTAGGATATGTATTAGATTTATATATAGCATTGTTCTAATTTAGGTATTTTGACACAAAATCGGACTTTTTCTGAAATAACATACTACTTTTTTTTTTTTTCCATATTTCGATTCTACGAGTCAAATTGCGCCAAACTACTAAGTTTTGTAAAAAAAGCACGAGTAGTTTTTAAAAAATTAGCTCTCAAAATTTTAGCTCCTCAATGTTAATTGAGTTTGGTATATTTTATTAATCTTTCTTTTTTTATTAAACTTATTTTATTCTTCCATTCACATTTTGAAATTCAGGTTCTTTCAAAATAAAATTCGCCATTTTTTATGATTTATTTTTTTTTTTAATTTGTATTTTTTAATAATTTTTATACATTTTTCAAAAAAATTTTATTCATAATCTATAAAATGTTTACCATCATCTTAAAGTAGACGTATTTCTAAGCATACCTGCAAAAAATTACAGTTTTTACTTCCTTGTACGAACTAAAAAGGAAGTATTGTAATTGCGAAAAGTTTCAGGCAGCATATTTCAACGAAAATATCCATTTTGACCGCTATCGAATGCAATTTAACGATGTTTTTGCGTGATATCTGTACGTAAAGACAGAATAAAATACTCTTTTCCTTCAAAAAAATTATAAAACTGCTTTAAAATGAATTCTGAAGAGAATTTTTCGTGGCGTAATTTTTCTGTACGAACGTATGTAGGTACGTACGTATCTCGCATAACTCAAAAACGAGTAGCCTCAGAACGTTGAAATTTTGTATATAGGACTGCTATAACATGTAGATGTGCACCTCGTATTTTGGTTGCAATCGGCCGCACCAAACGTATATAAATATATTTATATCCACTCTGTTACCCGGCTCAGTGATCTCAGTTTCTTTTCTCTTATATGTTTGTAAATTGTACATTTTTTGCTTTAAAAATGATTGAATTATGTTGTTCTTATCTTCCGGTTAAGGTTTTTATGCCTTTAGTCAATCTCTATTAAATATTTTTAGAATTATCAACAATTTTAAAGTTGTTTAAGTGCCGCTAAGACTAATAATGTTTTTGATGGCGGCCATTGCTTGTTTACATTTGAAACAGCAGAGTAGTAGATTTGTTGCCAATCTAGAGAAACTTAGGTTCGCAACAACAAAGATAACGCCTTCATTTATTATTGCGAATTAAATCATGCTTAATCCTTTCTGGAATTTTGTCGAGGAAATAAGTGTTTAAGATTTACTTCGTAATTTTTAATATAGATATTTTGAGTTTTTATGTATTTTTGCCTTCTCGCGAAGTGAGAACTGAATTAATTAAATGAGAAATACTCAATCGTCTGTGAAAAACTGTTTCTTTTTTGTTTTGTTTGCTTAATTTCTTTTATACATCATTCTAGCTTTATTATCGTATTTGAATAGAACATGTGGCAACGATTAGATAATTCTGTTCTTTAAATGATATAAATTTTGTGTATTATGAGTTACAATATGAACGAAATATATAAGTTAACTGTTGTATAATTATTGGATTATATAACAGTTAACGTAGTTTCCGTTATATAATTATTATATAAGTTAACTGTTATATAATTATTAATACTGTTAAGTGAATCTAGCGCCGGAATGTCGCTATGGTAAACAAATACTAGAGTGAATTTTAAAGAATGCATTTATTCTATTGTGGTTTATGCGCTGTCAGCGAAGTAGATTTAATTCAATCCAATAAGTTTAAATGAAATGAAAAAAAAAAAAAAAAAAAAAAAAATGCGTATAATTTAATATTCCGTACAAGGAAGTCATGTGGTGTACACATCAGATTTTTTATTCAAAATTTCCGAAGATATATGTGAATTTATATATGTTCGCGTTTTGAAATTTGGCATATTTGTTGAAAGCGATAAAACATCAAATGTGGTTTAGACACTTTGCTAAAATTATTTGGAGGTAGAAACGATGGAATTTTTTTTTCTCGCTTATGCAACAATGTAAAAAGGTAGGAACGAGGTGCTTTTTTTCTGTTCCGACATAATGGAATTGAAAGGAATTTGTTTGCCATATATTAAAAAGTTCGCCAAGTGAGTGCTCCTGAGATCACATTTAGCTATACTGCTGATCGAGTTTTGACGTCACCATCGAGATAGACGGTTTTGACCGTGGTTCTCTACTTGAATTCCCATTCAATATGTCTGTTATCGTACCTATGATTCAACGCTTCAGCTTTATGGCATGCAAAAAAACTCAGCTTTGAATCCGGGTAATGAATTCGAATTCTCCATGCTAAACAAATTCATATACTTTATTTCAGACTAGCTTTTACACGCGGCTTCGCTCGCATTGATGTCCTTAAATAATTAAGACACAATAACACGCCGAACAAATGCTAATTCAGAAGTCAAACAACAAAAATCAGCGTTATATTTTCAAATTTTCACAGAAATAGTTTCCATGGTTTTACCGAACCAGCTGCTGCAAAAAGCAGCAGCTGACTATGGTGGTTCGGTAAAACCATCGAAACTAGTCCTGTGAAAATTTGAAAGTATAACGCTGATTTTTGTTGTTTGACTTCTGAATTAGTCCTTAAATAAGTTTCAAAACTATTGAAAATAAAATAAAATAATTTGATATATTTTTTTTTTCATATTGCTTGAAATATTGCTTAAAAATACACTCCGCGTAAAATTTTAGCAAATACTGCCCTTCTTCATTGAGATAAAAGGAAATTCATATTGATGTCGCTAAGACGCTATTCTGCATAATTTTAAAAATCCGATTTGGATATATCAAACATTGCAATCTTATCTTTTTTTTTTTTTTTTTTTTTTTTGGGTTTTACTAAAAGATTCTAAATAAAATATAATTCAAAAAACTGAAAAACATGCTTTATTAAAATCATTTTCATTACTAAGATTTCAAAAAGTTTAAAGTATTATCAAAACGTCAAAAACATTAATTCTTTTCCAGAACAGCGCGAAAAAGAGTATTAATCTAGGATACTTCTGTATACTATATGTTTTTTTCATTCGGCGCTAATACATATAAATTCCTGGCTTTGGATACACGCAACATATAGTTAGTTGACCATGGGAAAAGCATGTCTTTTCCAGATGCACCCCTACTACCTGTAATGTTTGCCCTTGAGCTTTCTTAATAGTAACAGCAAAACAAATTTGATTGGAAACTGCAGTCTTTTCAAGTGAAATGGTAGGCCATAGGAGATTATTGGGATTTCGAGGTATGATAACACTTTCCCCTTTTCCTACACCTGTTAAAAAAGTGGCATCGATTATATTCTGTCCTAATTATGTGATCCGATGCCTCGATCCATTACGCAATCGAGGTGCATCTATATTTTGCATAAGCATAACCGGTACATTTAGTTTCAATTTATGTGAGTAAATTGAAACTAAATGTACCGGTTATGCTTTTAATTTATGTGGGTAATTTATTCAAAGAGTTTATGTGATGGTATACCTGATAGCTCTAGTAAAGAAATAAACAAAAAGAGATATCTTAACTCTAAAATTAAAACAGATGTTGGTTAGGATTGTAGTAAAAAAAAAAAAAAAAAAAAAAAAAAAAAAGTACTTAAAAATATACAATTTAAAAAAAAATTGTCTTACAAACGAAAAATAATTATTGAAAGATAAAAAAACAATACCAGAGTATTTCACAGAAAAAAAATGGGATTTCAAATAACCATAACCATTCTTTCTTCAATTGTAACACTATAAACATCAATTGTAACACTATATATCTCTGTGGGAAGACCTACCTATCACATCAGTGCACTCTAACGTGTAATACTAAGTATAATGACATTCGTAGTTTCCTAAACAATTAACAGGTGTTGCTGTAAAAGTTATAGTATTTTATGTTAAACGATGTAAAAAGTAAAGCAAAATTAAAATGTAAGTAATTTGTTAAATTTAAGCTACGCTCATAAGTACGTGGTACACGCTATGTTCATGTTTTATAGCTTAAAATGGTTGTTGTTGTATAAACATTAAATGTTGAAAGTTTTATAACGATAAGTTAAACGATGTAAAAGTTTGTCTGCGCGCGCATGTGCGTGGCTTAAAAAACAATTCTCCAGGCCTACCTGAGCGCTCTCCCAACCGGGTCCAATACCGTTACAGAACTCGAGGATGACACTAATAGGGAAGGGAATTGGAAAGCGCTAAGCGTCCACATAGTTTAGTTGAAAAGCATAAGGACCCTAAAATTAAGTACCATGTATTCGTACAAAGACATTTTATAGCCTATAAACCTTTTCTAATGTATCAAAAATATTTCTTGAAAATTTCATGATGATCAGTTAAGTAATTAAGGCGTGAAAGCGTAACAAACAAGCAGACAATCACTTAAAAACTCACATTCGCATT